ATGCATGCCTATAAAATTATATATAACATTTATGTATATATATTTATTTTATGGGCAGATATTCTATTGACGTTCGCTACTATGTATATATATGGGTGTGTGTGCTTTTTTGCATGCTTAATTATATGCAACAAAAACAACATGAAGAATTGTTTGTTTTGGCTCGGCGCGCAGCGAAGAAGCCACAAAGTTAACGTTTTGTTTTTGGTGAATGTTGTTGACTTAACATATTGGCTATGACTGTAGACTGCTATGAATTGGATTGGATTGGTTGCTGTTGCTCTTGTTGTTGTTGTTGTTGTTGCTATTCTGTGCTGCTGTATAGCTTGTGTTGCTGTTGTTGATTCGCTCGCCGCAGCTCTTAGCTGAGCTCAATTCAAATTCATCTCGATTCCATTTGGCTAAAGTGTTTGCTTGCTGTGATTCTGCGCTGGTAACTGGCAGTGTCAGTCTAAATCTTTGTCAACTCAGCTGATTTAGGAGATACATATACATATGTGCACACATACATTTACATTTATGTATGTATAGCTGTAGAGTCAAGCAGCTGGGCAACACTCACTTGTCTCACTTAAAAGGTGATAACAAGCTGCCTGCTCAAGGGGTATAAAACAAGAGAGCAAAAACTGAAGACAAATTTGCTGAATTGTTGTTGTTGTTGTCGTTGTTGGCACAGCAAACAAAATGTGTAACAATTTATTTGCCACAACAATTGACACAATGTGACAATATAAGCAATTATCGAACAATTAATTGAGTCTAACAATCTCTTGGCATTTTGATATAAATATTCGTCTAATTCCTTAATTTCAGACTTTGGGAATCCAGATTTTCAATTTAATTGTCTAGAATTTAGAGCAGGTTTGCTGTCAGCTTCATTTTATTATTAAACGCTTCTCATGTTAATATTCCACAACAGCCATATAATACATTTAATAAACTCAGTTTAATATATTCAAGTTTGCCAAACATAAGAAAACATAAAAAAGAATAAAATAATAAGAAATTAATGATCTATGAATGTATTTTTATTTTTTTTATTTTTTATTTGGAGGCAAACTGTGCCAATTAATTGGCTAACAAGAAAAGGGCGTGCTATGCAGCCTTTTAGCAATTACAAAAATGAAGAAAAAATATACATATCATATACTTAAATCATCTTTGGCTTTATGAAGCCGGATCTGGGCAACAATACACCCACGCTGTGGGCCCTTCATCAGCTCTTGTGTTGGCTGCGCCGTGGGATTCAATATCTCAATATACAACAAAAAGCGATTAAACAAGAGCCCAAAACTACAGTTGAGAGTTGAAATGAGTTGCAGCTCAATTTGCCAGCGAATTTGCCCACGGGCCATAGCAAAAGGGCAAGCGAGGCAACGAGGCCGTCAGGCAGTTGAGATGATGTCGTCTATTTATAGAGAGAACTGAGAAAGTAGCTGAGGCAGAGAACATCAAAGTGACAGCGCGGCAAATTTCAAATTAATACCAAGAGCTAGGCAGAGGGCAGAGGGGAGGCACCACTGCCTGCCTGGTTGTTAAACTGCCCACGCCATCAGGCGGCAATTGATCAAGAGAATGTTCTCTGCTATAAATATAGCACAATGAGCAGTCGCAGCAGCCGCAGCTGTTATGACATGTAAAATCCGGCAAGAAAGTAGCTATCGAGCCACACACAACAAACAACGAGAACAACAGCAAAAAGTTTGCGCATCGCAAAGCAAACAACCTGTCGACAGCTTTTAACATCAACGTTAACGTTAGCGTCAACGACGATGTCGACGCCAACGTCAACGCCAACGCAAGCAGCGCAGCAGCAGCAGCAACAGCAGACCGTTTGCTCTGGGCAGTTCAGCTGCTCGGCGCGCGCCGTTTGCTTCAGTTTGATTCTTGACGCCGTTTAGATCGGTTCTGTTTTTTTAGCGCGTGCTAAAAATAGAAGTTATAAAAACTAGAAAAGAAAAATAAATATATTTGAATACAACAATTCAAGACTATAAAGTCGCCAAGCAAACAATTAACAAACTAAAAGAACGGTCAAAACAGCGACTGACGCCCAGTTGAGTGTTTTGTGCCCAATCAAAAAGACTGACAACTGGCATAAATATCAATAAAAATATATAAATATATATATACATATATTAAGCAGAATTTGTGATATTATAAATAAGTTTCAATCGTGTGTGATAATTATTTAGATAAGCTAAGTAAATTTGCCAAAAACAAAAACACAACAAAAAGTAAGTAAAAAAAAAAAATAAAACAAAAAAATTACAAAGCCTGTTGAAAAACCAGTTGAAAAATTAAATAAATAAAATAAAATAAATAAAAAGAAAAAATGCTGCATACAAAAACAGATACATATATAAATAAAAATATTTTTGAGCGCCGATAAGACTTCCGCATGCTTAAAACGATCTTTACACAATATGCTTAAATCAGAAATAAAAAAAAGAGACTCAAATATATGTGTGCACGCATACAAAAGACTTAGGCAACGAACTTGACAAGTGTCTGTGCGTGCGTGCAACAAATTTAGAATTAATTTCATTAATTGCAATAATTATAAAATAAAAATTAAAAAAAAACAAGAAGCAAGGAAAAAACCAACAACAAGAAATTGTCATTTGCATTTCGAAGAGTGCCTGCCAATAAAATGAGAAAGGCAGAAGATTAAAACCGACAACAACAAAAGCAATCCAAATCGAACCAGAGAAGTTCCATTAATAACAATAACAACAACAAAAAACTAGCTGAATAAATAATAGAATGCGAATCTGCCTTTTAAAAGCCGTGTGCCAGGCAAATATCAGTCCATAAATATCAAACGGGTTGCCAGCCAGCCAACAGACAACGGACGGCGGACAGACAGCGCAGACTCGAAAGTTCACTTTTTATGTTCAACAAACCAAAATGAAAAAGTTTCAAACTCAAACTGTAATAAAGCAACAACAGAATAAAATAAAATAAATAAAAAACACATAAAACAGATTTTAAGTCGAGCGGCATAGCCGACTGCCAAATGACATTTGCAAATTATGGGGAAAAAAGGTCAGGCACTAGACAAAGAAATTATCATAAGAAATGCCAAAGTGCCAAAATCTCGCCTAGTTAGCCATAGAAAAATTCATATAGGCAGGGCCTATATAAGTAGATTACATAAGAATAAAAGCTCATGTATATGAAGAGCCCATAAAGAGTTCAATCGAATTTGAATTTCATATGTTATATGTGTAAAGTGGAATTAAAGAACCCAGAAGAATCTAGAGCGAAGTCTGGGATTATATATGTATAAGTATATGTCCCTATCTTAGCTCCCATCTAATCTCAATTCTAGTTGACTTATATATAACTTCTTGAACTCATATCCAAACTCGCATCTCAACAATCTCTTTTGCTCTCGCAGATGCAGGATTATTGGCACATACCACGCGCCTCGCTCGTCTCCTCTAGCAGCTCGGCCATCAGCTCGGCGAGCTCCTCGAAATCGTCCAACAAATCGAGCTCAAATCCGCCAACGCTTGCACAGCGCAGCATCCACTCCACAGCCAATTCGAATGGAACTAGCGCAGCTGTCACAGCGGCTGCTGCGGCGGCTGTCTTGGCGGCTGCCAAGCGCGGATCACGCTCGTCACAGGGCTCCAGCGACAGCAACAACAGCACACGGGTGAGTAGTGAGATGAGCCACAAATCATCCATAGCGAGCAACCACAACATGAATTGTGACTCATTTGGCATTTTCACCCACACAGAGCGCCGCATCCGGCTCGTTGCTGCTGACGGCCGCGAATCTGGAACGATTCGCCGAGATACACAAGAAACAGGAGCGGCAGCACAAGATGCTGCTGTCGGAGCAGCTGCCCAGTGTGCACGGCCACAGCTCCTCGTCGGCCAATTACAATGCGAATCTGGCATTGGCCAGCCACGCCAAGGATGCAGTTATTCCCATCGATGCTGATCCCAATCTGCAGTACATACGCACCAAAGATCTGGACACCGTGTCCATAGCCAGCTCCATGCACTTCACCATGGTTAACGGCGAGCCAGGCGGCGCCAAGAAGCCCAAGCGTGGCCTCTGCGATCGCGGACGACAGGTGACGGTTCTCATTGTCAGCATGAGCACCATCTTCATGCTGCTCATCATGGGCATGGTCTATGCACTCGAGAGTAAGTTGGCTCGATATACTCAACTCGGTCTCAGCTGGATTGGCTCAACTAACGTATTCTCTTTACTTCTCCATTTGCAGTGCGCGCTCGTGATATGCCCAAGAGCTAACGCAATTGCGTGTCGTGCTTAGAATTCGGAGAGGCGCAACCACGCCCCATATATATATATATATTGTGGCTTCTTAGTTTATTATTTATTGTACTTCCGTGTCAATTATTATTATTGTTATATGCGTTGTCATCGTCTTTTTTGTGCTAGTTGCTTAAGTTATTTATTACACACACCAATTGTTCAGAGAAGCGAAATTTTTGTATGGCCTGCGTCGTACTAGTATTAAGCGAACTTACAATTACAATTAATTAGCGTTAAATTAGTGGATCAACCAACTGTATCACAGCAATGCCCTGGACCATGGACCGACAGATACTGAAGTGAATGCCGAATAGCCAATACACACAAACAAACACATATATATGTAGATACATGTACAGATATGTATGATGATATTTGAAAAATATGATTAGTTCTTTAATGTCTATTCAGAGAAGGAAGTGTATTTTTCAATTAAACAATTAAGTTTTTTAGCCCTGTGATATGTCAAAATAAACAGAATTCAAATTGTATGACACAAAATATGTTGGGAATTCTTTTACTTCTATGAGTCATGAACTCAAGCGGAGGTCAAGCATTCTGCTCTTCTTGTCTACCTATGAGTCATGCCCTCTGCAGTGAGAGGGAGTTTAGCTGCTGAAGCGTTTAGCAGCACCTGCTTTAAAACACGTACACACAGTAGCTGATCACCTTAGCAACAACTAAAGCATACGTAAGAGCAATAACCAACCTGGATCAACAACAACCTGGCAACAGCAAACATAGACCAACAATAACATCTGGCGGAAGCTTCAGAAACAACGTTGCCTATATAAAACTAATTGAAAACTAAAAATCCGTCAATTGGAAATGTTTTTTAACATAAGAATAATTGATTTAACGAGTAGGGAAAATATTTTTTGAATTTCATCCAATTTTGATAGGTTTCTGGGCGTTGGAGACATTAAATATAAATTCTAGTAGCATATTCACGACAAGCTCTTTGAAAAGGAATATATTGGTAAAACCCAAAAACAAATTAAAAGCCGCTAAGACTTTCTCCTCATCAGTACAATGTGCGTCATACATCATTTGGAACAGTTTTTCTTATACATTAAACATAAGCTCAACTAAAAAAAAAACTATAGCATTTGGAATTTTGTATACAGTTAACATAAGATCAAATCCAATAAAACCAATATCACATGCTTAGACCACCAATATACAGTTTTGGAACTGTTGACTAAAAAAGAGAATCTATCTATTTCATACGATAAGAGTTTTCTTAGAGTCAGATTATACTTAAATTAAAAGAGCCTTAACTCACCTCCACCTCCTGCAGTGTCTGTGTCCACATGTATTTGTCTAGAGTGCAGCCATTGCCAGAATTTGGTTGCAATTTGCCCAACTCATCCTTTTCGGTGTCATCATCCACCTTTTCAATGGGCTTGGAGAGTTCCTCATTGACTGTTGTCACACGCGCCGAGTCTCCAGCAGCGCCATCCAACAGCTGCTGACGTTTTCTAGAAGAGATTGGAACACATTAAATTGTCTACTCCTTTATAATATTATAGTTTAACTAACTTGTCCTCCTCCTCCTTGATAATGGCAGCGGCCTCTTCATCGCTAATATCACAAATCTTATTATCATCCATTTCCTTTTGACGCGCCTCGCGCTCTGCTCGCTCCTTTTCGTCCTTTAGACGTTGTGTAGCTTCGCGTGCTTTCAGTTTCTCTTCATGGGCAGCCATGGCCAGTTTGGACTCCTTGCGGAACACATCCAGCAGCATTTTCTCCCACTCAGCCTGCTTGGCACCTGTGTAGAAATCTGTCTTCCGACGCAAGAAACTGGCCAATGTATGCAGAAACTACAAAAAGCATGGAAAAAACGTGCTTTTATATTTGCTTGTCATTGTCGTTGGACGGCACAAAGACACATGGCGTGTTTACATTGCAAATATGCTTAAATGCACTCTGATGTTATTTTTAATCGACTTGCTAAGTATGCATTGGTTTTAACAAAGGATTCGTAAACAATTTCATGATTCTGTGTGCCATGCTTCCAGTTCCAGAGAAAAAACTTACTTCGGGCACTCCGCCTCGATGCTTCTCTGCTAAAGCGAGCAATATGTTGTCAAACTGATCTTCATTGGCGGACATTGTGTTGCCTTCTGTTTTGTAAATAGTAAACTTTTTGAATATTTATTTACGTTAGTTTTGTTCTTTTTCTGGAAATTTCCGAATTTAATATTATTTTGGGGTGACAAGTGACTGCCGGCGACTATGAGTGTGACCAGCTTAATAACTGACAAAAATATCGTTTCCACAAAACAACAAACAGTGCTACCACACCAGTTTACTCTTCTCGATACATGACGAAAGCAATAGATTTTCATATCAGCTAGCTCTTGATCGGCAATTCTATTACCTTAACGGACTTATATTAAAAAAAAGTTGTGTAGCATACATAAAGGTAAAATTAAGCGCTATGTTATTAATAAATAATTCTGTATATTATTTGAAGGAAATATGCTTTTAGGCTTGCACATTTCACATGCAATGTTAAATGCCGCTTAGAATAGTCATATGAGAACTGCGTCGGTCGCAACATCTGCTAGGCAGCAAAAGCTCTCAATTCGAGTTTCGTTCTCACTCTTTCGTACTCCTCTTGCGCTTTTGAGTGTATGAAAATGCGACTTTCGTCCTAGGCTCTCGTTCATTCTCTTTCGGTCTTTTGAAGGAATCAGTCGCGTTCTGAATCCATCGGACGTTGATATAATAAAAGTAAATCGAAGTGATAAAATCAAACGTACATATATACTGAAAAAGTTCTTCATTTTGTGCTTAATGTGAAAACAGTTAAACGGCAAACAACAATCAACGAAAAAGAGTGTGACGGAAAAGTAATAATTCTAAAAATGTTTAATTTAATAAATAAAAGAAAAAAAATGTGATTCCTAAATACCTTAAACAATCGAAAGTGCATTTGAGTTTGGGCACCCACATAATTATTTCCGGCACAGCGAATATGCGTTTGCAAAAATCGATAAACTTCACATAGAAGCGCATACACACTCACATTGTATACTCGCATACGAATGTGTATACAAGCCAAAGCGAAAGAAGAAAATTGGGGAGAGAATGAAGTAGAATGAAGTAGGCCCGCCTACAGCTGACAGTGCAGTGCATACAATTAGATACGCTTAAAATAAATTTGTGGTATCAGGCAGCTACTATTAATATTGCCAGCTACGTGTGTCTATCATATGATTTCAAGTGATTACTTAATGGTACTCTATTTATGGCCGGCTCTGTGACAGCGCAAGCAGCTTGTGCTCTTCACTTACCCCCGTCCTGCCACAAGTACATGGCCCTTGTCGATGGCGAACTAAAGTTGATTGTTCTATTCGTGTGCGTGAGAGTGTGAGTGCTGTATGTGATGTGTGCGAATGCGTTTAGCTTCTGTATGTATTAGCAATGTTTATGCTGCTCTCCCGTTCTTCAGTCGTGATATACGTTTCGCTTTACTATTTTTTTTTTCTTTTTCTGCTTTCTGGTATTCTTTGCACGCGACGTCGACAACTGCGGCGACGACGACGATAACTACAGCTCGATTCGCTATCTTGCCATGTGCGCGCCAAAGCTGCTCTAGAGTAGACAGCCAGGCCTGCTCTACTGCTCCGCTTCAAGGTCAGTGTAAGGTTAGCTCTGCAATTGCGACGCACAGGCCATGGCAGTGATTTTGACGCGGTTGTCGCCGCCACTGCTCTGCTCTGCGCGTTGGTCGTTGTCAATATTGTTGTGTTTGTAGTTGTTGCTGCTGCTGTCGAGTAACAATGGCAATTGGGGGCGCTTGGCATTTAATTTGTGCCCAGCAAACAAACATACACACATTCATCTGAGATGTTTGTGCGTGTATGTGTGTATATGTTTGCTTGCGTGTATCCTTCGTCAAAAAATTTGACATTCCCTTGTGCATGCCTTTCTCAATTTAATTTGTTTTTCATGCCTTTGAGCAGCCTCCTACAGCGTCGGCGTCGACGTCGACAGCGCTCTGCGTACGTGACGTAGGCGTCAACATATCGCCTTTGCGCAAGTGTGTGCGTATGCGTATGTGTACGTTAAAGCTTTGCCAATACCTTTCTACGTCACTAATACCATCATGCCCTTTGACATTTATCTTTTATATAAACAAGTGTATTTATGTATGCATGTGCATAGCATTAATACATAAATGTTGCTTTTCTCTTTCCATTTCTCACTCTCTGCAAAGCTTGTGCTGTGTTATGCTTCACAGCATCTCTCGCACTTTTCCAGCGTATTTTGTGTTCTCCCTTACGTAAGCTTACATAATCAGCTGCAAGCACTTAGCTTGTATTTTTCTAGTCCTTTTCACGCTGTTAACGGATTTTCAAGTGCACTTCAATTTTAAGGATAACATTGTTGTCTTTGTTTTGCTGTATGTGCGCGAGTGTGTGCATGTGTTTGTGTTGCCTCTTAGGCAATGGCGTAAAAGCCATTTAATTGCTCTTCTATCTGTGAGACTTGAGCGAATGCCCTAATTGGTATTCCGCAGAGCGTGTTATAGACCCGTAAAGGGTATTCACGGCCAAATATTTCAAGCCGGTTATAAGAAAAACCGGTCTAAATTGAAATCTAGATAATTATGGATGTGCAGAAGTAGTTGAGCGAAATTCGAAGCGAGATGAAAGTTTATAAATACATTTGAAAAAGAATTTGCAATGCAGAGCAAATAAAATGCCAAGCAAACAAAATTTCAGGCAAAATCTATGGCAGAAGGAAATATGATGTATAAAGCAACAACATCGAAGTACAGTAAAGACTTGTAGACAAAACACATACAGTTTTATTTATAACATTTTAATAAAATTATTAAATATGTTCTTTTAAAAAGCAATCAAACTAAATTAGGGAAATATTCTAATATATGAACACTTTATGAGTCTTCACTGAATATTGAATTTCTATATTATATACACTCATGGTCAAATTAATAGGTGTGACCCAAAGATTCTAGCATATTTTAGAATAATTACGGTTTGACAACCATGAGTGTATATTTTATTAAAGAATAAATGCTTTCTAATATAATTCTCAAGGCAGTTTTATATAATTCCATCAAATTACAGTTGTGTGATCAGAATTCTTTCTAAAAGGTGTGGCGCAGGTGCCCTTTAGCAAAACAACAACAATTTCATTTCCATTTCAATTAGTATTTGTTTTCGAGTAATTCACTAACAAGTCTTGATTGACTAGCGAATTGAGACAGAGAGAAATTGGATACATTCTGTGTGTGGTTAGGCGACAGGCGTCGCTGTAACCACAGCACCAACCACATCCCTAGGCCCCCAGTTCCAGTGCGAACCGGGAAAAAACGTGATATAATTCTGCCCCAATTGCGTCGTAAACAGGGCATCTGCTTAAGGTATGCCAAATAGCTGCAACAACAACGACAATAACAACAATAATGATAGCCAAAACAACAACAACAAWAAATACTTATGATAACAAATTGTTGTTATGTACAATTGATTGAGCTGCATTTGCTGACGCCAATTTCCTTAATTGAATTTTACGTTGCACTTAATGCCCTTTGATTTATATGTGGGATTATGTTCTATATACACATTCACATGTTCTTGACTGCCTCAAAATGCGTCGGCAGCTTGAGCAAGGCATTGCATACTGATATTGTATAACAATGGATGTAGCGCCTGACCGATTCGCTATTACTAGGATTACATCGACCACGCACTGATAAGCTACCACGCCTCAACCTCTTTCAACTGCATGCTAAGAAATCGACATTAAGTGACGTCAGCAAGCGAAACAATGGAGTTGGTGTCCTGATTGGGAACAAAAATTACTAACAGTGTTGTTTAAGATATTGAAAGGAAAGACCATAGAAGTGTAACAGTTCTAGGAAAATCAAATTCCATGGGCCAGGTCCAAATAGTTGCGTGCTACGTAAACTTATTCAAAGTATTAGAGTTGTCTTCACACAGTTATAACCTAGAGTAAATCTTATATAAGAGCTGCTCTGAATATACATTTCTAGGTTGCTCCAGTTATTGTCTTCCAATAATAGCTTGACATAGGGTCAGTTACATAAGCTATATAGGTGAGGCTCCAACATTAAAGGTCTCAGAAAACCTATTCCAATATTACTTTGCCTTAGCTTTGACCCGCGCCCTGGAATGCAAATGCGTCGTTTGTTTATTCGCCTGTGCAAGTGCATTCATTCCAGCCATTGTCTAATTGACGCGGTGTTCGCGCCGGATCGGGGAGGAGCCGCGCCTAGGTCGAACCTGCTATAAATAGACATAGCACGTTATATTATCTGGACAAATGCGATGCGAGTGGGTAGAAAACTGGCTACAAAAGTAGTCTCTTAATATCGAACATGCATACACTGGAAAAAAAAGAGGTGTAACATGCTCATCTGCTCAACTAGCTACCAGATAAGTCTACTACTATTCAGTAGTAATATAGAGGCAAACTATTGATTCAACTGGAATTGTCTACGGTCTCCACTTAACACTTAATAATAGAGCTTAGATCGTGCCATCTCCAGCATACTATTAGCATAACACTAACTACTATATTATATAGAGACTCCAAAGGTAGTTACAGAAACCCTAGCCGCCAGTCCAGTCGGGAATGCTAGACAAATGTATATGCCCGATAGAAATATTTAGTTACAAGCAAACAGAAAAACAGAAAAAATAAAAAATAACTTTTGTTATTTACTCAAGGTAATTGTAAAGCGCAATAAAAAATCGACCGAAGCGTGAGGCGTTTTATAGAGCAAAAATAGAGAGAAGGGAACAGAAAACGGTTTGCTTTCTCTATGAGATATACAATCCATTGGCTAATTAAATAGGGGAGGCAAGCGCAATATCTCGATAATGAACACAAATTGTTACTATTATTAAAATCTTGTGGATTTACGCTTAATTGGCACTATCTCGGTATAGTTGTTTGCACAGCCGGTGCACATACACTCATCTATAATATAAAGCCTATGGCGGGTATATAGTATCTATAACATACCAATAAAGTTAGCAGCTGCTTGAAAACCCAAATGATAAGACGTTAACAGTAGCTCGATCGAGTAAGATAAAGCTAATTTACTAACTATATATCGTAAACGGAAAATCATAATAAAGTTAATATGAGATTTACGATATTTGATTCTAAAATATGGATTTACGATC